GAGACCTTCTGACTCAGTTAAACAATGCCTGGACAACTAAGCAATGCCCAAAGCAGAGCCTGCCAGTTCCCTGTCTCAAAACCATACCAACTTTCTGGTCAACTGGGCGGTTGGTTCTCAAGACCTCAGCTGGAGCCACCTTTGTTTCTGTGCTTGAAGTTAGGGGCATCGGAGCAATCCCATAAGCAGGATGCGGCAACAAACAGCTGTCGGGAGCCAGGTGGAGTGTGCTTAGGGTACTTAGGGAAATGGCTCCCAGATCTCTCTGCTGCTGGAAGGGGCTCTTTTTTTGTAGGCCCTCTCCATTTTAAGCCAAAAATGTCTTTTTCAAATCCTATAATCTGAATTCCTTCCCCACATTTCGTCTCTCTTTTCCATTATTTACTATTCTTTTCACCTGATCATCAGAACACCATAAACTAATACAACCCCTAATACACATGGATGGATTTTCTCTTACCAAGTGATTTTGCATAAATGATCTTATTGAATCTTCCTGGCACAGCGCTTGGCCAGTAGAAACCAACCATGTCCCTTTCCTACAAAGAAACATATTTTTACTCCCCAAGGTATCTTTATATAAAACTCCAAAGCTACTGAGATCAATAAGATATATACACACAGTCACAAAAATAAGGTGGGTGGCATCTCGTTTGCACACACACCTTGTGCATAGCTCCTCTGGGCTCAATTGATATATGTTAGAAGAATTAATATGTTAATTCATGCTACCAAGACAGTTATCGCCTTTTTGTAAATCCCAGTACTGAAAGAGATCCAGGAGGTCCCTGATTTCTTGGTGACTTGGAAAGGGAACTCACAAACTCAGCCATCAGGATACACATAGATCGTGCACTGGCAGCCATAGCTCATGCCTGACTTTGGGTGAGCTCAGCCCAAGGCTGAAAGAAGCAGGAGAGGGACGAGTGGAGTAGTCAGGAACTTGCTCTCTCTCCAGCTGCCCTGAAGCCTGCTGCTGAGCATTTCCCAAGCACCCTGCCTCCCCATGGGGCTTCGCACTTGAACTCGGAGCCTAGAGCTGACACTGAATCTGACCGTGGCCCTAAAGCACACCCGAAGCCTCTAGGACTGGAGTCTCCATGGTCTGTATCAGAAGCAATGCCTGAAGGCTGCGGTTTACCTCCATCTCAGCTCGCCCTTGGAATCTGTCCGCAGGATACCGCTGAGAAGGCCCTTCGAGTTTGGAAAACTGAACTTTCTATTAATAAAGGCTGCCAAGGGCATAATCCAGAGCGGGGTTCCCCATGGGTGCTCAGTAAAGATCTGTTGATGGATGGGTTCCAACACCCTATCACATTCAATTTTCTGTTTCGAAACAGCTTTGTTAGAGATGCTCAGAATGTTGTTCTCTGGGTTTATTTTTATTGGAGCCCAGGAATCAGATGATGATGCTATCTGATCCCAGCAGTCTAGAAGACAGCTCTCCTAAGCACTTCTCATAGGCTACACTTGGAGGGAGCCCCAGGCACACACAGAGAGAGGGACCCACCCCACATACGTACATTTCCCGGGGCCCAAACCCTGCGCAGGCTCTTGGCTGAGGTGTGCGTGCTTTCAGAGATGGGCAGAGGAGCTGTTTGCTGAATTTTCTGACGCTCTTAACAGTTCAACTGGGCAGAATTGTGGCCTGTTCAGGGAAGGGGCTTATAGCTAGGGAAAAAGTCACATCCAGTGACTTTCTAAATAATAGAACTTCAGAAAAGCTGTGCGATGAAGTGGAAAGAGTTGAAAATTTGGGTTTGGAAGACCTGGGTCTAAGTCCCGTTGTCTCAACATACTAGTTGTGTGGTCCTGGGCAGGTCACTGTGAATCTCAGTTTCGTCACCTGTCAAGCAGGTGTAATAATAACCATAACTTGCAGGGTTATTGGGGGCCTCCAGGGAAAGAACGAATCTGAAGGCACGTAGTATCTGAGTTTTGGTTTCTATTAAGGTTTGGTTTTTGCCAGTGGGCATATCCTACTTTGATCGTTTTTGGTATGAAACGTCTAGTTCTATGCTGGCACATGGTCCAACTCAGTGAGCATTTCATGACTCAAGAAAATTCTGGATTAACACAAAACTGGAATCAGAAGCTGGTTATTTGCTTTTCAAAACATTTTACTTCTGTGTTCTTTTTCATAAGAGATTTTAATTTTTAAAATTTTAACAGTTCAAGTAAAGGTCAGCTGGTTAACAAACATGCAGTGCTCTTTTTGATCCCAAATATCTTAGAGAGCATTGACCAACACAAGTATGATGCCTGCCACATATGTAATTAAAAACTTCTAGTAGCTACCTTAAAAAAGTAATCAGGAAATGTGAAATTAATTTTGATAATTTAATTTTAGTTAATTCAATGTATCAAAAATATTCCCCTTTCAACATAGAGTCAATATAAAAATTACTAAAGGGATATTTACATTTTTTTTTTGTATAAACTCTTTGAAATCCAGTCTGTGATTTACACTTACGGAGTATCTCAATTCTCACCAGAAATACCTGATCTGTATTGAGAGTTCACAAAACTTATGGTTGAAAAGTAGATTTATATATGCAAGTTGTTTCAAATCTATTTAAAGTTTTCTAATAATTAAATTGAGTATCAACTTTAAATTTAAATGTATCAAAATAAAATAAAAAGTTTAATTCCTCAAGGGCACTGATTTAATTCCTTAAGTGTGGCTACTGTAGTGGACAGAGCAGCTTTAGAGCAATTAAAATATGCTCCTGATATTCTAGTTTAGACTTCTCTTCTAAGGTCTTGGGCAGATATTGAGGTACAGTTTACAGGTTAAATCTACAGTTCTCAGATTTGGGGCTCTATTAAAAATACTGATGTCTGGGTCCTCCTGGATTTACACAAACTGAATTTCTGGGGGTGGGTCCTGAGCATTTTTTTTTTTTAAAGCTTTCCAGATGATTCTAAGGTGCAGCTCAATTTGAATGCTCTGGAAGATGAATTTGGGGCTAATTAATTACAACTACCTATTGCCTGAGCAACCTATGGGAAACATGAATATGAACAAATTGGGCTTCTGATACTTAAAAGAAAAAAAAACTCTTCTCTCAGAGCTTTTACGAAGTTCTAAAAGTTAGATTTTGTCAGTATTCTAACCAACTGTGAGAACTATATAAATACATTTTCAGGTGATTTTTTTACTTTATAAATAAAAAATATTTAACCTTTTGGTCAGCATTAAGTTGATGGGTTCTTGTGGCTCTTCCCAAAAACATGCTGTTGCCAATTTATGTTAAAATGTTTAGAGAGGTTTTCAGTGCTGTGTTAATGTTTTTATCTGTACTTATTTGTGAACTGTGTGATCATAGCGAGATCATGCATGTCAAAATTATAGCACAGCTATTTCTTGCCAACATATATCGACATAATGGCTATCATTCAATCGTGACTCACCACAGCTGATCAGCCTAATTGGTTTTAGCAGCGTGTCTGATCTAACTGCAGTTACATCATTGTGGTTGAGCTAGTTTGGGTGAATTCCCTGAAGATCTTCTGGTTCCATGTCTGGATTTGCCAGTTGGTTGTTTATGTACCTGTCCTAGTTTTCAAGTGTGGACATTTGCATTACTTTTTAATTTACTATTCCTATTTCCAGAAACCTAACAATGTTTTTTCATTGCATGTGTTCGATCAACAAAACCGCGTGGTGTACCTACCTGGCTCCAGGCACTGTGCTGAGTCTGGTTGGCAATTAGCCTTCATCTAGCTTGCCAACTCCAGTTGTTGATTTCACAGTGTTGAAAACCAATCTGAATTTACATCTAGGCTCAGTGGGGGGAAAGGCCATGATCGATTAGTCATGTCTGCCATAAACCCGGGAGCAGAGAGAAGGTCCTACTGGCAAAAGTTTGCTACTATGTGCTTGGAGCTGGAGACATAAAGAAAATTAGCACTTTTTCCAGCAAAAGAGATGGATAAAACATTGAGAAATCATGTGTTAAGTCCTACGATATTGGTTTATAGAAAGGTTTATAGAAAGTTCCATAGAAACACAAAGGAAGCAATTGTTATACCTGGGCAGGACTAATGGTGCTCGGACATGAGGAGATTAGGAGGAAGTTTCCACAAAGGTAATATTTCGAGTGAACCAAAGGGAGGGAATTGTAGGAATTCAGCAGAAATTGAGGAAGAACATTCTTTGTGTATGTGTGCTTTTTATACTTTGATATGTTACTATCAAAGTAAATTAAATTGATTAATGCCATCAGCAACGTTTAGATATATTATTTTTTGCCCTTAACAGAGACCACAAAAGCTGGTATTTATTTGTGAGAAATTCAGAGTGCCTTGTAAATTCTGGCCGACTTTCATTTTCTTTTTTGTTTCCTTTCATTATAATTGCTCTTCTTTTGCTAAAGTAATGAGGTTTATATATATATATATATATATATAAATAAATAAACTGAGACCACTGAGAAGCTGAGAACGCTGCCTGGCATGTGCTAGGTGATACATATGTGCTGAATCAATGAATGAACATATCCAGATTACCTATATATTTAGCCTATCATACACGTCTACCATATATATATATATATCTCATACACACGCCTCTTCCTATTATAAAAGCAACTAATCGTCAACAGAGCAGTACAAGCAGATAGGATGATCCTGTTACAACATAATCAGTTCATGTTGTTGTGTTCGAGCCCCCATGAGTCCCATTTCTCTGGGAGGGGGAGCCCCCACAACCCCTCTCCTCTGGGTGCTGTGCCAATGCCCCCTTGGGCTGGGCCCACTGGGCTCACTGGCCTTCCTGTGACTCAGCAGCCTGGTCCTTGCTGCAGGGATTTGACACTCCTTTCCCTGCTGTTTGGAACTGTCTGCCTAGCCCAGGATGTTCTCATGAACCTGAAGGAGTTTCTTTACTCAGAGGGCACCTTCTCATGAAAGCCTTTCTTACCACCCAAGTTCAAATTGCAGTTGCCCCCACCCCGCGAGTCAAGCTGAGGAGCCTCATTGTGAGGTAGGGTTGCTTCTTTTTGTGATCTCACCCGGTACGGGCATGCTCTTAGCCGTTGGGAGGTACAGACTCCATGGGAACAGCCAAAGGGTCTGTGGTGGGTCACTGGGGGTACTAGGCCAGTGACTGGGCACGTGGGCCTCAGGGCCATGGGGTGAGGGACAGCGAGGAGGAGGAGGAGGAGGGAGTAGAATGTGGCACTGGGCTGGAAGGACTTAACAGGGTGGAGTGAACACTGTGCTCATCCAGAACTGGCTTTGGAATTGTGAACATCTCTGAATACTGAGAAGAGCACTGGCTATGGATTGGAATATCCAGGTTCAAATCCCACCCTTTCACTGACCATCCCTGTGACCCTGAGCAAGTGACTTAACCTCCATGAGCACCAGTGTCCCCTCCATAACGTGGGGGCAATGATGCCTGTGACAACAGGGTGTGCCGGAGGATTTCTGCGTATCATTTGGCTCTGGCCATCTGAATAGAGCCCCCACTTACCCTTCCTAAGGAAGCTCCACTCCCCAGTACTGCAGTTTGAAGGTGATTTTGAGCCAGAGTTCTCTGTGTAGTACAATCCCATTAGTTCCAGGTTCAAGGATCTGGGAGGCGATGCCAGTGGTTCTGGGTGCAGACCCGTCTCACATTCCTGCACCTCCTTTAGGTGTCCTGAAAGGCCTACGAAGAGCAGGGGGGGAGTGGTGGGGAGGGCAGCGGGCCCAGCCAGTGTCTGCGTGGGCAGCTTGGGGTCTGCAGGTGAGCGTGGCCACTGACCTCCCGCGAGTGCCAGCGTGGCCATGAAGCCTGGGGACTTGTTGATTAAACTGGAAAACTGCTATTCTTAGTGGCAAGCAGTCATCCAGCAGTTTTGAAAAAGGAGAGAAACCACTCAGCCAGGATCTAAAAATACTTAGGGACAGACAACCAGCGCTGGGAAGAGCTTGGACCTGGAACCTGATTTGGGAAGAACCCAGTGGGGATGGGCCACTCAGTGGGACCTCGTAAAGCCACGGAGCCCATGGCACAAACAAACACTTCTTTGTATCTATGGATCTTTATTATTTATTATAATTAAAAATAAAAATTTGTAAATATTTTATAGTAAGAATAATAATGGTAAACGCTGTTTATGGGATACTTGAATATGGCAGATTCTGTTCTAAGCCATTATGCACATTACGTTCTTGGCCCCAAAATATCTCTGTGGATTGGATAATGTTATTATTGCCATTTACAGATGAGGAAACTGAGTCTTAGAAGTGAGGAATTTGGGCCACTCTCATAAGCCTGAACATGGAGCTTAATTATCTGGAATGGTCTGGAGTTGGCCTTCAAATTCCACCCTTCCTCTTTGGCCTCTGTGGGTTGCCTGGTATTGTTTTCCTAGCTGTTAACAAGCTGCTCTCTTTTAACTTCTCCAGGGAAAATCTTGGTTGCTGGACCTCTCAGGAAAAACTACTGGTGGTGACTTGACTTTGGGCTTCATTGTGGAATTTCTGTCTCATGTTCAGTTGAGCACAATAGTTGGGTTTTGTGTGGCTTGTTTCAATTTGCATAGAGATTGGCGTTCCTCTTCCAACGGCCAGGAAGAAAGAGGCAATGTTGGCCACATTGCTTAAGGATTGACTCAGCACCAAAAGGCACCAGATGCCTGGATATGGATTTTTTCTTAATTTTAAAACTAGGTTGAACATATTTATAGGCTTTATCTTTATCTGGGCCCATTTGTTTTCCCCTCCTGCATGCTGGGCACCTAGCATGGTAGAAGGCTCAAAGGCCTTAAGACTGTATCCACACGGGCTCACTCGAGCTCATTGGAGGCCCCAGATGACCCAGTTACTATGTAGGCATATTCATTTCTGTCCTGTTTATTTTTGTTTTTATCTTAGAGATTCCTGGAAGAGACAGAAGATGACGGGTGGATCTGAGGCTGCCATCTTGAACTAGAAGCCTGTATCTCCCAATCTAGTTTAAATTTCTCTGGTTCTGATATTTTTTACTTACAGTTTCTTTTTATGGTTTTCTTGTAGCCACCTCAAGTTCTGTGTTGAAGGGCCTGGGGACAAATGAATAAATATCCTGAACAAACAAACCAGCCCTCAAATGGTGACAGTGGTTCTTAGTCTGAAAAACTGCCTGTCCCATTGGCACTCACTTCCTAGCAGAGGAAGGCAGGGAAGGAGGAAGAGAAAAGAAATACTTCTAATACTGAGGACAGCAGTAAGTCACATGCTCCCAGCAAGCTCCCTTCCCAGTGGCTCCGTGTGAACATGCATTGAAGCGATGAGACATAAAAGCAGGATGGACCCGCTGAAGTGGCATGGGGCACCCCATTTGGATCCCCTCCTGCCCTGCCATCCATCGTTCTGCTTTGTTCTGGTGTGTGGACAGAGCTTTGGTTGACAGTGGCTTCCGCTTGTTCTCCATATAATCTTCTGGAGCGTATGTTGTCTAGAGGATACTGACTTACCAAGCCCAGAGTCATTCGTGGTTGTTCTCTGCAAATCAGCCCGTGGGGAGGGGGTGTCCTTGGGTCCAGCTGCAAAGGGCACCCCGGGCTGCCCTCTTTGGAGCGCACATCCCTCTCTGAGTTTCGCTGTCCGTCAATGCCTCCTTGCACACGCGCTCACCTGCTTTGACCTCTTGTTTCTCAAATATTTCATTAACTAACTGCCTCGGAGGTGGGCCCTGGGTGACGGCCCAGCAGAAAAGGACAGCGAAGAGGCCAGCCTGTGTGTATAGGGAGAAGAGAGGAGAGCAGTGCAGGCGTCCAAAGGCAGGCTCTCTGCAGCGCTGGATACACGAAGGGAAAGAGTGCAGACGCCTTTCACAGCCCCAGATGTGTCAGCAGCCGTAAGAAATGGCTATTGCTTGGTGACTTCTAAGAAGTAGGAGAAAGTCTCCAAAATAAAAATAATTCAATCTTAAATAGTTTATGTATCCACTGACCTCTCTCTTATGGAAGCCTATAGGGAGAAAATACGAAAAGCACTGATTAATTCAGGGCATTTGGGCGATTTACAGACTAAAATGTTAGGCATTTTCCAGCTGTTTTATAATATCTGCTTAGAAAATGTGTTTTGTGCGGGAGCAAGGCCAGCAGTGATGGCTCTGGTACCACCTGGGTTCCTTCTTTGCCCTCTGTTCCTGCCCCCTCCCTTGGTTTCCTTCCTCTCACCCCTCTTCTAAAAGACAATGGAAATCAGATCCAAATATCTTGGAGAAGGAGTTTGTTTATACTTGGCGGGCTGCTGCTTCCTATGTCTAAGGCGCAAGAAAAGGAGGCTTTGCAGTGTCGTAAAACGCCCGGGAAGGTTTCCTGGATGTCAAGTGGCTGTTTCCTCACACCGCGTGAACGAGTTAAGTGGAGGAGAATCAGAAACATGCAGATTAAATTTTGCTTAAAACCCACACGTGGCTTTAAAGTGTTGGGAAAATATGCCTGGGGCCGAATCTGATTTGGATTTTAAGAAGAATTCAGACATGTTGGGCGAAGATGGAAACGTTTAGAGACGACGGGGTGTATCTGCTCGCTCTTTGCCAAGCCTCTTGGGGTTTTATGTCCCTCCTGGGGTGACTGAAGCTGGGCCCTGTGGAAAAGGAATTGTCCAGAAACACAGATGAGGGGGACGCGGCGGCAGGAGTGAGAACCTGCCGGAGGAGAGGGAACCTGTCTCGGGAACATTCTGGGCGCATTGGCAGAGCCGGCTTTAAGGCAGGCGTGTTCGTCTAAGTGTCCAGCCTGGTGCCTGTGAAGTGGAGGAACAGAGCCAGTCCCCATTGTTGTCGTTCCAGGATCTGAGAGAAGTCTTCTGGTGGCCCAGCCATCTGCGCGGAGCCCAAGCCAGCAGCTGGAAATCGGCCTCCAAGCCCCGGCCCCGCCCGCCTCGCCTCTCCCATTGCATTCAGCTGTTGTCTGTTGGTTCTATTTAGCAATGGTCCTTGGGATTATCCAACTCCCAGTCATCCCAGTGACACTTCTGCGGTTCAGGCCACCTCTGGCTAGATAGGTGCCCCACCACTCCCCTTGCTTCTTTTAATTCATTTTCCACAAGGCACATGGTGTGAGCTTTCCAGAGCTCACATCAGCTCCTAGCATCGCCTCCTCAAACCCCTTCAGAGATCGCTTGAACACTCCCAAATTCCTGACATGATGCATGTGGACTTTCACGATGCGGCCTCTTCCTGGTTTTCTCTCTCTCGCCAACCTGTTCCCCCCTCACCCCCATATCCTCTTACCTCCCACCCCCTGCAAGGTGCTCCAACCATTCTGAACTCCTGGCTGGGGACTCTTGGGGAAGTCAATTTGTCTCCTTGTGCCCCAGCCCCTGCTGGGGGTTGTTGAGGGTGAAATAAGTTCATATATGCACAGTGCTTCGAGCAGAGCCGGGCACTGACTGTGCCCCCTTTTCTTGCCTCTTTGTACGTGGAAACTTGGCCCCTTGACTCCCTCCCACTCTCTCTGGTTCGCTCCTGTTCACCCATGAGGTCTCAGCTGAACTGTCAACTCCATGATAGCTAATTCTCCTCCAGAACCTTCCATCTCCATCTGGGCCAGCGTGGCCTGCAATGTGCTTTGTAGGGTGGGGATCACCACGTCTGTGGAATGGGACACAGTTGGGTAGCGTCATAATCATCTGCGTTCCAGTCTGTCCCTGCACCAGACTGGAAGCTCTTTAAGGGAAGGGAGTGTTTCTCAGGTGTCTTGAAACCCCACAGTCAATCAATATTTGCTGAAAGAAAATATAAAGAAAGAAAAATTGGCTCCCAGGGAGAGACTATGCCAGGCTCTGGATGGATGCCTGTAAACCCTGATAAGGTCATGTTTCTTTCATAAATGCATAAATGGTAATACTCTTTTAATGAGCCAGTGGAAAAACAAATTAACCAAGCTGGCATTTGGCAAAAGCAATTTCAACATCTAAAGATATTTTTTTGTTCTGGAACTCAGAATGACTTTGCACTCATAATGTCATCCTGAGTTGACAAAGTGATTAGACAAATTTAATCAGCTGCTGGACTGATTAGGTTTGCCTCTGGCTCTTGCCTTTTCCCCACTCCCTGCCCGTTTTCTGCCTCACCTGGTGTTCCTCCAACACACTCTAGCGTGGGCTGGAATGCCAAAGCTCCCTGCTCTCCACTTAGCCTGCATTTCTCCTGGATGCTAAAGGCAGCTGGGAAAATGCACTCTGCATTTAGTTCTCATGTGGTCGTGACTGTTTGGACACAGGGTGGTGTCCCAGGGAGGAGGCGGTTTTTCCCGCCCTGTGCCAGCTGTGGCAGCATTTGACATGGCTGACGGATTCCGTCATTCCAGCTGGCCATGGCTCATTAAGATGCCTGGGCTTGCTGGGGACTGGAATTTCCACATCTGTGCTGCTCAGAGAGCCACGGAAACAGATGGGGGTAGGTCTCCTCCAGTGTGGATTGTCCGTGGTCACATGAGTTGGACAGGGTGTCTAATGCAGACAGGTGCTTCCCAAAAGTTTTCACCTAGAACCTCCTTCTGGGAACATATTAATATAATCTCTTACCAGCCCCCATTCTGTAGGAATTTTTTTAAAAACCCATTTTGTAATTTTTGCATGTTAAATATTATAAAAATTGAATGTAAGAATTTTTAAACATATTTTCCCACCTAATAAGTGATGCATGTTGTTTAATTTACTTTAATTATGTAAGAAAAGCATGATTTATCAACAAGTGCATTCACAAATTATATAGTTTTATCATATTTGGTTGAGAAACACAATTTTAAAATGCAGATGGAACTTTAATTATGCATTAGCATTGACAATAGGAAAAACTTGCCTCTGTGACCTAATATTTGGAATTCCTACATTTTGCACTTAAATGTCAACTGGATAGTTGGTGTGAATTTTGATTTGTATTTCTCAGTGTTGACATAAAAGAGAGATTTAGGCCACTTGCCATTATTTCTCTAAAGTATCTTATTGCAAGAGTAGATAGCTTCATTCCCAGTTTTCTCACTTTAACATTGGCTTCTGAAATGTTGGAGACAGTTTGAAGGGGTACTGAGGCTTTTGACCAGATAAATGAAATTTAGAGATAAGGCTCAGAAAATCTAGGGGTGAACTGGCAGAATTGTCATTTTTAGGTTTCCCTTTTTGGGTTCCCCTCCGTCCCCTGGAGTGCCAGCTGGACTTAGTGACTTGCTTGTCATGAAGAAAGTGATGGTATGTCACTTTCAAGATTAGGTTTTAGAAGACTGGCTTCCATTTTTTTCTCACTTGCTCGCTCTGATGACGCCAGCCTTCCTTGTTGCGAGGAAGCCCCTGCACTCACTGTCCAGGGCAGCCTCCAACCAACAGCCGGCGAGGCCCTCAGTCCAATATCCCGGGAGAAACTGCATTCTGCCAACAACCACTGTGTGAGTTTAGAAGTGAATCCTTGCCCTATTTAGCCTTCAAATGACTATGGTCCCCGCTGATGCCTTGATTGCAGCCTGCAAGAGACCTTAAACCAGGGACTCAGCTAAGCTCTGCCTGGATTCCTGACCCACAACAATAATGTGAAATACTCAGTATTATTGTTTTAGTCCACTAAGGTTTGAAGTAATTTGTTAGGCTACAGTAGATAATTAATATCCCTCATTACTTTCTTTGTTGAATTTCAACATCGCTGCTGTGTATGCTTCCTGTCTTTGACCAACAGGTAAACATTGAGGGATCCATGGATATAAGTGGCACGGTGTCAGAAATACAACGACTTCATTCAAAACAGCCTGCCAGCTAGCATGTGCGGCTGAGCAGCAAATCACCTGAGGATCTGAATCACAAATGTACTCATTCACTCTCCCAATCACACTGAAGATGCACAAGGGAGCTCTCAAATAGCTTTAAAGAGAAAACATTTATTTCTCTGGTTGATTAAAAAAAGAGATGACCTTGCCACCTTTCATGATGTGAACCCAGGTGATGGAGCAGCATCCAGCTATCAGCCAGGACAAGATAGAGTGTGGAGGTTCCTGTG